ATAATATAAATTAAATAAATTCTAAAACGAAGAAACTGGGGGTTGTTTACAAATAAATTTCGCTTGTTTCACGCCTCTATACATTCGCACGTATGGCGCCATTCGGTTTACAATTAAAATTGAATTTAGCATTTCAAAGTATTTTAAGGCCCTCCAGGCGCAAAGAACGGCGAACGTTGTCAAACAAGTGAAAAACATGCACGCCAACCACGTAGAATTTAAGGTTTACGCTTGTCGAGTTTGTGCTTGATAAAATCTTTGTTTCTCACGTATGAACGTTCGTTTGGTATTCGCGGCGCCCTCCTTTCGCGCGGAATTTGAATTTGGTATTTTGAAGAATTTACACAGCGGCACGCACTGAGACATACGAGTGGAAAATAAACGAATTTTAGTTAGTTTTGTCGATCTTTTGTTAACATCTTTGCGAGAATCTAGGTTTTAGTCGAAGGAAAATCATATAAAATATAATAGCAACATAAAACAATAGTCCTAGAATGCCACTCTATCTAAAGAAGAAAACATTCGACCAATGTGTACTGCTAGTCATGACATATGCATGCAAAACCTGGACACTTAAAACGGACATCATAAAAAAACTGCAGGTCACACAACGCTCAATGGAACTAAATATGCCGGAAATAACCAAGAGAGACCGTAAAAGACTAGAACGGATACGACAAAATACTGAGATGAACCGCCTATTTAAAAATAGACAATATTTATTTAAATTCGAAACATTCATTTTTAAGACACTCTGTATAGATAAACAAAATTATTGATTTTTAAAATATTATTCACAAACTCGGGAGAGGGAAATCAGGCGACGAACAGATGTGATATTTGTTAGATAATAGCTTTTAGACTACCATTCGAGACGCATTGATATTATTTTGGTTCGTAAGTTTTGTGACAAAGAATGTTATTAAAGGTAAAGTAAATGTTTTCTCATTATTTGACTAATGTTAACTAAATCATATTATTTTGCTTTCTTGTTGTAATTCTGTTCTAAAGCTTTTCCTTATTCATTTGATCTGACAAAGACAATATATAACATGTGTATGCATTTAATGGAATCTATTAAAAGTAATCTAAATAAAATCGTTTACTGTTCCTTCGTGCCGATGTTTGTGGTTTGTGAGAATAAGAGCCTTGTTGAGTGTACTAACAATTTTCGACCTTGCATGGGCGAATATCTTAGCTCGCAAAAGGGCAAACAAAAACAATAAATAAAATAATTCATAGAATAACTTACAATTTATTAAATTATAAGATATTGGCACCAAACCTTCTACTTTAGTGTCGATTCCGCAACAAGGGACTTCGTACCTACGGGTGGGGACCCGTTAAACTAACAAAAAACTCTTCAGTTTTGAACGATATAAATGTGGCATGTTTTGAATGTATTAAACTATAAACCTAGGTATGAAGACAGTTTCTATATTATTATTTCTCTATTATTTAAGTTCAGAACAGCATAGTTAGATTCTCTGGAATAGTGATCATGGTTTTCTCTGCCGTGCTCTTTTACATGTGAATTCCAGGCAGAGTACGGCACTCCTTTCATTTCATTTAATAAAATAAGTAGGGCTATTTACAAATTTAGCGTTTTATTTACATAACCTATTCTCCTCAAATTTCCCAAAATATTGCTTTGTCGAGGCGCATGCGAGGTAATCACAATAAAAAAATATTTAACACAACGTAGGTTCCTTTCTTTCATTTAAATTTCTTGTTATACAGTTGGCCAAAATATTACCTCTTCAACTTTGTTGACGAATTTGGGTTGTTACACTACAATACCCAGGTAATAGATGTCATCCACAGAGTCAAATCCCTCAAATGGCAATGGGCAGGACACCTGGCAAGAAAAACGAACTACAGATGGACCACAGCATGGTACCTACGATGAATTAAAAGACCTAGAAGAAGACTGAATCTGAGATAGGACCATGATATTAGGAAATTAGCAAGGATAACTTCGGCTCGCATAGTCAACAATGGGCCCAACTATCAAGAGAGTATCTAAATATATGAGTTAGGCTAGGCCATAATTGAAAATGGTTAAAGAAGCTGTGAAAATAATGTTGATGATAAAAACAATAGTAACATATTTATGTAAAACTTGGAAAATAAGTTTGTTATAATATAATGCTTTTATTTATTCACTATTCTAAGAAACTCTCTATTTATCTAGTAATACTAAAACGCTCTATTTGAAAGTCGATTAGAGAAAATAGTATGATTCATTGGCAAGCGATGTAAATATTTGTGATCAGGTAAAATTGTGATGTAAGAGGAGGCTTAGCTTGCCGGCGGCGGCGGCGGGTCAATAGTAGACGGGCCGGCCGGCTGTTGTGTTGTGTTTTGTCACAGAGCTGACATCTGACATTTGGGGGTTGCGAGTCTTTTGACTATAAAAGTTGCATGTCGTTTGACTGTAAGGCAACGGGTCTTTTGACCATTGAGAAGAAAACCTCTTGTGACGTCTTGCCTTCGAGGTTGGTCTTGAGAGTTTGAGGTCTCCCTTGTCTTCTCGATTGACACGATGCGATGCGGCGTTGGGGTAGTGAGGTACCCCAATTAGCCTACTCGATTGGGATGCGAATCTGTTTAGCGGCAGATTTTCGTCCGGGGGAAGCCCCTATACGAGTACTATTTCAGGTGACACTAGCTAGTTGTTGAAGCATATTAACCAATAGATCCTTATAATATTTGAATTAGATGGAAGATCTGGAATGGGATATATTAAATAGAATGTCAGTGATGTCAGTGGCTAGGGGGCGGAGTACCCCCGGGTGAGTTTTACTATTTAACTATCAATTTTATCCAGATCAGTAAATGTTTGTTTTGTTATTTTCATGTACAATGAGAGAGTGCTTGCCAGTGACCAACTAAATGGATATTTGAGGTGAATTTGCATTGTGAGACCCGGTTGAGTAAGCCACAGAAATAATAAACTATTTCCAAAACGTTGCGGTATTTGTACCCGAGGCAAAGGACTCTCTTCCTAAATCTCAGTGAAATAAGTAATTCTAGACGTTTCTAAAATAGCTGTTGTTACGATGATATTTTGTTAATTACGTCTCGTTTTATGTGGATATATATTCCACAAAATTAATATTTGCACACGCGTTTATAATATGAAGAGTAGATATTTAAGAACAAAACATGACTCAATATGGAGGAATATAATTACAATATGTTTTGTAACGTTTTTAGTTCGTTACATGTCTTTTTTATATATAATATATGATGTCTGGCCTATCATCACCGGATTCCCTCTCGTTCAGGCCGGATAGATTATTTGACGCGTAATTTTTACGTTCCCTGGTCGCCAACTCTGTGATCGTTCGACACAACCCTGTTACTATTCTGTGAAGGCGCGCGCTGTCAACATCGCTTCTGTCAACTCTCCGTGCTTAACCTCAATTTGTTTTGACGCTCTGTTTTATCCCAGCTTTTAGAAATGGTGATTATTTGTTAAATCTTGCTGTATAATCTGAATCAGCTGCTATTTCAAAGCAACAGGTAAAGATGAGATATTATCCTTTTAGATTCGATATTATTATTGAATATTTTTAGGGTAGAGTTACGGATGTCCCAACTTGTATTTGTGTTTTGCTGACACGTTGGCGTCCCTTTTCTTTTTGTCCTCAGAATGTCACATGGAAGAAAGGACATGTTGTTTATTATTTATTGAGCCCTCGGAAGTATTTCGAGGTAGGTTTATTTTGTTTATTAGACCTTGTTTGGTTTTAAACAAGAGTTTCATATTTTTAGGGTCCAAGTACGGACTGTGTTCAAGGTACGGACTATTTCCAAGTACGGACTGTGTCCAAGGTACGGACTATTTCCAAAGGTACGGACTATTTCCAAGGTACGGACCTTATCTTATGTACGGATGTCCTGTGGACGAGTGTCCCCAGTAAGAACGATTGTTTCTTACATATAAGTGCCACAGCGTGGATGTAGCTTGAGTCCCATGCTGCTTCGTTCCCAGCTGTAAGCTAGTTAGTTACGGCTGTACCAATTTATGGTGTCTCATTCTGGCCCCTTTGGTTGTGTTGGATGGCTGAGTACAGAGATGCGAGACCACCTCACGCTGCTACTGTTTGAAGCAAGATTACATAAAGAACAGCTAAGTGTAGATTTACGTTCTAGTTTTCATGTTTTAGATTTTCTATATTTTCAGTCTTAAACAGTAATGTACATTTTAAATAATATCGTACAGACTATATTTAGTGGTTAGATTGTTAAGAACATTCATGTCGATATAATCTTTAAAATATAATTTAGATCTTAGGTTTCATTGCATTACGTCTTGTAATGGTATTACTTTTATAGATATTATTGCACTGTTTTAATAGATGGATAATCAAACATAGATTCTAGAATCTACAGGTTGTAACATCTTCGATTTAGCATCATATAGAATATATCAAATTAATTAAAGTAATGCTACATTTCATATTTTCTCTTAAACTTTACATGTCCTGTATTTAATCGTAGTTGTTTTCATTGATATTTAGTACGACTCTTACCACCACTTTCTTTGACATATAACCACTATATATTTACTAGAACTCTACAATGTCATGTATCAGCAAAGAACGTCATGAATAAATATAGTCATTAGTTTTAAGTATTACACAACTGTGTTTTCTTTCTCTGTACATGCCTGGCGCCCAATATCTATATATCTTTTGTTAATTAATACTGATTAATTTTCTCTCTAGTGAAATACCTTATCCACGACTGCTCTCCGATGAAAAGCTGCCGTTCGCAGTGGTAGTGGCTTAAAAAACGCTACAGTTTATTATTTAATTTTATTATAATGAATTAGTATATAAAATTGTATATGTTACGTTTGGAAATATATTTCCAGAAATATTTCGTAAAAAATTTCGGGGATAGTGTAGATGAGGCTATTTAACATACGTTAATCTCTTATATTAACTTAACGGCGAATAAAATGTTATGTAAATAACCTCTAAGCTTACCTCATCGGCTTGAAGAGGGCCTGCAGCTCGTTGGGATAATCGATGATTAACTTGAGTTGCGTTCCGCCCGATTTCTGAGCTGAAACAAATAAATCAAACTTTCAGACAGGATAGCGTAAAAGACGAGGCGAGGGGTGGGATAAATCTGTATTCCCTTGTTGTGTCCCCCTGAAAAGGTAACGGTTTACTGGTTCCGGTTGGTTTGGTTAGTAATTAATCCTAACAAAACGTCCAGGTAGAACGAGGAGAGAGATTTTATTTAATTAGTTTATTAAACAAATTATATAATTATAGTATAAGTAATAACTATATTCAATAAAAACACTTTTTACAGTAGCATGACCAACAAGAAAAGTAGGAAAACTTTCACATGTACTTATCATGATTGTGATTTCTAGAAGTACATAGGGTGTACAATTTATTGTTGAAACCAACCATTTTTTAAGGGTCTGTAAATACAGAGTGCGTCTTACAGTCGCTCACCCTAATATTTTTTTTAATTTTTTCAGTTAATAAACATAAATTAGTATTGATTGAAGTATTCAATTGTTTTTCGTCACTTCTTGTTTCACCAGAAATGACTACAACTTTTGATTTTTAAATGACACCCTCGGTATATTTCTACTTTATTCGATAGAAAATGATATTCTGCAAACTATTGACATATTCGTTTAAAAAAATCGTGCCATGTGCCGCGTCCTTTTCTAATTTGAAGTTCAGCAAAACACAAGTTTACTTAATCGGGATGAGTTGCATAGAGGCCACTAGCTTTTAATTTTAACAGCCGGGTGGTCGGGGTCCAAAGATCTTAATAAAAGGGCGCCACGAGATTATACTCTGTGAACTCGGCATAAAAGATGTTACTATTAAGTAGACTTCAACACTAACCTCGAACTGTTGAGTGTAACTACCATGAACTCCAAATATTACTATAATTACTTGAACTTAAGCGACTCTAACTTAACTATGAGACTAGACTGCAAATAATACTACTAAAAATGATTAAGCAATTTATTAAAATATTCAAATGTTAAATGTATATAAAGAAAGGACAAAAGGAATGAAAATGAATGTAAATGATTGGAAATGTAAAATAAATCAGAATTTAAATCAATGAGAACTAACTAAAATTGTACAGTCTTACTCTGTCTTGACGTATATACTCGAAACTACTCAAAAGTTCCTTTGGCTGAGCTACGGTGTACAGCTATGGGGTGGCTACAGCAGGGTACAGCAGCTCGATGTACTGTCACTGGAGCCCATCAGCAAACGTACAGATACCAGCCAGGTGTAGGACTTCAAAAGGTGACATAAAAAACCCTAAATAACATTGGTTGTGTTAGAAAAGAGCCTCAATTATAGAACAAGGACTAGCACAACGTGTAGGAGTTAATAAAGGCAATAAAGAAGGACTAATCAAATCTGAACTTTACCTCAACGAGGGTTTATGATGTCCAACGGGTAACTCTACACACGGGCAACAGGAACGGATGGAATTCTGGACTGTTCTGTGCTACGGTCTGGATCGGTCTCCTTGCTCTACAATTACGAACAACCAAATAAGATTTAAGAAAGATAACACTCAACTAATCTTTCTACACCACGTGGGCGTGAAAAAGTCGAAAACCAGTCAACAATACGAATAAAAATCAGTTGAGTATTGACTTAGAATAGGCAGAAGAATTATAGTATACCTTGGAACTCTCGGGGACTTCTTGGGCACGTGCAATCGGAACAGCAGGTGAGAATTCGGCTATTTAATCCCTTGACTGAAATTTGGTCGGTGGTCCATACAAATTCAACAAAATCCAACCACGTCTCTGACCAAATGTGTTTATGAAGACTTAGTCCTTCTCTAGGAAGACCTGCTAATTACCAACAGGGAATGGTTCACGAAACAGGCAGCCAGTTCTTCACAGGATGTTCTTCGGTCGGGAAATACACAAGAAGTGATGCAAGGATTCGATTTCCTTCACAAAATCAGATTTCAACCGGAAATCTCCCTCCAGGATATAGATAGAGAACTATATATCTTGACTAGTCCAACTCACAAAAAGGCATAAATAAAAAACGAGTCAATGACCGAACTTAACTCACAAATTCACACACAATTCACACACTGCGATCCACATCAAAAATAAACAATTTAACTACGAAATTTTATCTGATAATTATAAAATTTCAATAACCAAAACAAAGGGTAAATAAATCCAAAAACATCTGATTTGATCTGACAGTGACAAGTGACGGAAAGGATATCAAAGATAAAGAGAGATCGACAAAAATTCCAATGCTGGGCCAGTGACAATATTGTGAAGCTGTAGCTGTATAATATCGCGGTGTATATCGGGTTGCATAATCGTAAAATTTAAATAAAATAATATTTAACAATAAAATTAGAGTAAACATGATGCAAAAATAACAGTTATTTGCGATAATTTATGAGCTAGCACGCAGAGGTCGTAGCGATGAAATTTAACTGTTAACTGTTGTTAGAAGCACTAATTTTTAATCAAGGAGCCTTGGAAAAAATAGATTTGATCGTTTAATATTTTTCGTGTCTTGTTATATCTCAATTTTTTAAATGGAACAATGGCTCATTTGCATATTTAAAAAAATCATTTTTTACGAATAATTTGGTACCACACACTTGGTATTTCAAGCCAAATTCTCGTTATGAACCTTATGTTACAATTTCAAATAAACAATATGCGAAAATGTCAAAATAAGACATATGATATGTCATTCTATTCAGAGTGTCATTTTCTATCGAAAAAAGTGAAAATATACCGATGGTGATACTTAAAAATCCAAAGTTATAGTCATTTCCGGTGAAACAGGAAGTGAGAAAAACAATAGAATACGTTAATCAATCCTAATTTATGTCATATACTTACATACCAAATCAAGTTTTTTTATCTAAAAAAAATAAAAAAGTTATAAGGATGGGCCAGAAGGCTTTTGAGAAACACCCGGTAGACATTATTTCAAGCATTGTTGATCGCTCCGTAGTTTCTCTAAAAATTACAAAATTGCAGAAAATAATTAAACTAATTTGACAAAAATAACGTATATAACAAAACCATTATATATTTACAGCAAAAATATAAAAATATACATAAAAATCTTTAACTGTATAATAGTACCTTTAAATCAATATGCCGGTTATAACGAAATGAAAATGTAATGCAGGTAAAACAGTTTTAAATAAAACAATAATAAACTTAATAGTAAAATTTTGAAACAATAATGCCGGAATCATAATTTTTAATCTTGCTCCAGAGGTTTACGACTGTACACAAAAGCAGTTGTAATGAATTCTAAAAATTAAACAGAAGCAGTGGCGTACCATTTAAAAATGACTAAAAATGAATAAAGAGTTAAGAGTCCATTTCACTAGTCCGAAAAACTAGAAATAAGCGTTCGGCATTTAACGTATTATGTAAAATTGGCTAGGTATTTTTACATAAATGAAGAAGGAATTTAAAGATAAAGGATTATACTATATCCGTATTGTAGCGCATTTATAGACAACTTCTTTATTTTTAAGATTTTGATGGGCAAACATCAACAAAATATTCCTTATGTTTGGACTAAATTTTCTCGAAAATATAGACATAATGTAAAATTCCGTTACTATACGGAAATAGATTGAAGTTTTGTGATTACAGTGATATATAATTTATTTGGTTTTGTAACAAATTGCTCGCTATTTTATGGCAAATGCTGAGGCTCTGCAAACCTTAATCAAGCCTTAATCCAAGCACGTGTGTTTGGAATTTTGAGTGTGGCTTCACAAGACAGAATCGGGCTAATTCTTAGGCAGATTTCTGATATATAATATATATTTCCTTCGGCCACACACCCACTTCACCCGACCCCTAAGGCGATCCGAACAGTACAGCGTAATAGACTCTTAAAACACAAACAATTATTGTCCTGCTAGTTCATACATATTATTTTATAAAAATTTTTTGGCTTCAGTATTCAAAATTTATTTATAATTACTACAAATTAAACATTTTTTACGTCTTTCAAACTAAAATTAGGCAAAAAATATCTGTAACTACGCCACTGACAGACTAACTATACTTTATTTCGTTCTGTTTCAGTTTTCTGACAGAATTAATATACTAACATTTGAAAAACTTTACAGAAATTCCGGTTTTATTTCTTCGGCACAGGTTTATTCCCCCAAGTTTTACGAGAGTAACAGTTTTATTATCGTCGCCGTGAATTTACAGCTTCCGTAAATAATACAAATATTAAAATTTGATTATATCATTACAGTTTGTGTAATTCCGGATTATTGAATAGCATTAATTCGCTTTTAGACGTTTTAGAGTGAAGTAAAATAAAGGCTATCCATAAAAAAATATTCTGAGAAAATGTTAATCAGATCGCATTAAATTATGCGTATTAATTTCGCATTTATATAGGGTGAGTCTTAATTATGTGCAAATATTTTTTAGGGTAGTATATGATCACATAAACATGTCTATGAGGTTTTTTCGCAAAAAAAATTGAAAAAAAATGGAATTTTGATTTTTTTAAAGAATTTAAATTATTTAAAAAAGAGTTTGTTAATTTTTAGTTAAAACACATTATATCTTGATAATATGGCAAAATAAATACTAAAATAAATTTATAAGAAAAAAATTACAAAAGATCCATTTTGTAAAGCAAATTTTGTAACAGTCTTTTTTTTCTAGAGAGCTATTACTAGCGCCGAGCAGTCGGTCTTTTGTTTCTCGGGCGCCACCCTCAAAATTTATAGTGTTTGAGAAACCACTACTGCCAGTACGGGTAGCTTTTCTACAGTTTAGCATCCAGGGAAATGGGGTAAAAGCCAGTTAAAGTCGAATATGTTCCATAACGAGGTTTATTTAAATAAATTAAATATGAATCCAGTATATTCAAGTTCAAAGTACTCGAATTCAAATATAAAAAAAATATTAAAACATGAAATCTAAAAAAGATAAATTAAATCAGATCATCCCGTTACAGGTCAAATACCAAAAGAAATTAAATCAGTTAATTACAATAGCAAATAATTAAGTTCATATTATTTAAATTCAA